CAGCGGTCTTCTTCCCAACCTCTGACCCAGGCGAGCGGCTCCAGCAGTGTAGCAGCACCATTCAGTCCCTGTTGGGTGAGCAGCAGGGGCAGACGGGGTGGTGGGGTCCCTGCAGTGTCAGGGTGAGGGTGCTGGGGCTCAGCCAGAGAGGAGTGAGGGAGTGTCCTGAGATGGCCAGGAGGGCGGGCAGCTTCCCTTGGCCGTGGCAAGGCACTGCCCCACTCAGCCCTTCCCCAGCACTATCGAAGTTGTCCTCAGCAGCTCTGACCTGACAAAGCCACCGGCCAATCCCAGGGTAAGGCTGGGAGCTTGTGCTTGAGGCCTCGGGGACTGTGTAGACTCAGGGCTGGGGCAGCCTGAGCACCTGAGCAGGGCCTGGGACCATGGCATTGCTCGAGGGCTGCATAGAGCTGCCTCCCAGACCTCCTGCCTTCCCCCAAGACCATGCTCTTTTCCACGTCACACATGGGGACACACAACTGTGCGGGGCTTTTGAAAAATGCCAGTGCTAAGCATGTGGGGCTTTTATCCTGGGAACTGCAGGTGTGGGGGCCCCTCTAAATAACTTCTAACCGCACCCCGTCCTGGTTTAGGTCTGCCCAACCCTGCCCTCCAAGCCCTCTGCAAGCTCATCACGGCCTCGGAGACAGGCGAGCAGCTCATCAGCCGGGTGAGTCGCGCCTGACGGCTGAGCCCAGGCCTGGGCTGTGCCCAGCTGGAGCAACGCAGTCCCAGGGCTTTTGTCAGCCTTCATGATTAGGGCTGGGAGGAAAAGGCTGGCCCTTACCAGCATGTGCTGGGCAGTCAAGACGTTCTCGGCATCGTCCGGGTGCTGAGCCCCAGGAACGCTGGGGGCCTTTAGAGAACACACATGAGGTCCTCTCACCTCTAGTCCAGGGTACTTCCTGAACCATCCATGCACGGGTCCCCTGCACCTTGGACCCCACCAGCCTCTTTGGCTGACTGGCAAGTGCTACAGTCACCTCTCCTGAGCCCGCAGTGCAGGGCCAGCCCCACAAGACAGACACTATGGACGCCCGGCCTCGTCCTCTGATCGGGGTATGTACTGGGGCTGAAGCCAGACGGCCACCGTGGCCCAGCAACTCTGGGAGCTGGCTCATGGCTTTCACGGCTGCGCTTTTCTACAGGACCTCACTTGGGAATTCAGAGCATTCTCATTTTTGCATCATACAGGCCGTTCCCAACTCGGCCTCGAGCATCTCGGTGCCCATCTTCCTGCTGGCCAGCCTGGCCATCTGCGTGGGAGGCTCCTGGAGGGCTGGCAGCCCCTGAGCACAGAGCAGGTTTGGGGTCACCCTCGAGTGTCGTAACTGAAACTCTACCACACGTGGTTACGGAGCTGCTGGTCAGCACGTGTACATTCTAGCAGAAAACGTGGAAACAGCAGCTGCCCCATCTGGGGGGCCTCCTGTGACCTGAGGTCGGCCCCATCCCAGATTTAGAACACAGACCACTCAGTGACCTGTCCCCTTCCTCAAGTTCATTTTGTACCAAGTGTGTTACATCTTCTTGTTGAACAGCATCAGAAGATGCTTCCAGAACATTCCACAGTAGAACATCCTGAACTCAGGAGGTCCAGAGTGGGTCCTACAAAGAGAGAAAGCTAGAATCCTATCAGCCAGGCCAGGCCGCGAGTCCGTGAAAGCCAGCTATCAGTCGAGCTTGCGGTGGAGCAGACTTCCACCTGGTATACTGCTGGGCCCCAGGCAGGTGTCCTGGAGCTGCCCCCGTGGCGGGCGGCAGGTGGACCTTTCCTGGGTCACTCGAGAACCACGGACTGTGGTTTACAGAGCGGCCTACGGATGCCCTGCCACTCTCCCTCCCCGCTCGAGCCTGCGTGTCCCTGCTGACTCTCGCTCCTCTCCCCTCCTGGTAGCTGCGGGCCTGGCGTGGCGCTTCGTGCAGCAGCAGTCAGCTCGCGTTGCATAACGGCCTGTGCTTGAATCTAAACTCTTCTCTCTCTCTCTCTCTTTCTTTCTTTTTCTTGTAATCTGCTGGCCGAAGGCTGTTAAAAATATGGTTGGAATGGTGAGTACTACTTTAAGTAGCAGCCTCCGTCAGGTGAGCCCCTCCTCCCGCCCATTTTTTTTTTGCAATGCCCTGAGAGCGGCGTGCACGTGCTGTCTGCAGGGCCCCGTGGCTGTGCAGCTCTGGGCTGGGGCCCATGCCACTGGCCACGGCGGCCTGTGCCCTTCCTCTGCTCTGGCTCCCCTTTTCCTGCTCACCCTTCTTGTGTCCTTGATTTGACCTTTTAAGTGCCACCAGAACAGCAGGGCAGAAGCAACCTTAAGTGAGGACACTGTGTGAACCCACTTGGTGACCTCCCGAGTGGTTCACAGACCACAGTCTGCCACGCCACGGGCATGTGAGTGGGTCACAGAGGGTCTTCGTCAAGTGCTGAGGCTCTCGGTGTTACTCGGTCCCTCTTTGCCATTTACCTCAAGGTCCTGAAGACAACTTTAATTAAATATGTTAAACAAATATAAAAAATAGAAAGGAGGTGCCTAGACGCTAGGTCGCCCTGTCTGCTCCCCAAGCAGAACCCGACTGTGGGCGCCCTCCCCAGGGCCCCTCCTGCCCTGCTCCATGAGCTTCCCCGACAGCAGGACGGCGGGCGTGGCGGCACTTTACAGAGTTCCAAACATACACACGTGGTCGGTAGAGGGGCACGGGCAATGGCAGTGACAGGTGACAGGGATGCGGGGCTAGCCCCGAGGTGGGCCGGGGGGGCGGGGCTCACGTCTGCTGTCCCTCCACAGCTCCACCAGGTGCTGGTGCAGCTCCAGGCCGGAGAGAAGGAGCAGGACTCCGCCTCGGCTCCCGTCCAGGTCTCCATCAGTGTCCAGCTGTGGCGGGTCCCCGGGCGCCCCCGGGTCCCGGGGGGCTCTC